ACACTCACTGCACGGCTTAGCGTCCGTTGTTCCCCGTCATGCAAGGGTTGGACGTCGTGGGGTGTCGTTTGGGTCTGATAGCTACTCTCCAGCTGCTTCTGTCTAGCGGGTTGGCCTTCTGCAGTTTCATTTACCATTTACCGTAATCAAATCAAAATGGCCCAATCTAGAGACAGTGTAAAACTATGTACCTGGATTTCTCTGGCCAGAGTGAAGATCTCTCTCAGGCTCATGAAGACCTTCTTGACCAGGTATCCCGAGGCCTCCCACCCGTGGTCCTGCGGGAAGTCTGGGATGTCCTTCAGCTGGCGCTGGATCTGCAGACGGCCGCCGTACCGCGTCACCCCGTAAACTACCGTCATCACCGTCTGTTTCACCACCTACGGACAGACATACAGGTAAACAGGGCATATAGTTTGTGTTCGTAGGCCCTGCGAGACCAGAGTCTAATTTATCTAACATTGATACTGTCTTCCCACCCTACATCTCCCAGCGGGATGCAACTAGTTCATTACTACAAACAGGGCAAGCCTGTATCCTTGCACTACAAACAAAATGGGTGGGAGACAGCCATAGAGTTGTTTGTTAGTTAGATGTTGTCTCCATGAATCATTATACACTGTTCTTAACGTTCCAAAGATAAATTATAAACTAGAGAGGCCGACATTTGCTTGGGAGCAAATACAGCATATTTCAGTCCATCTCCCTCCCACTTACCGAATTTCAGATCATTTGGTTGTAAAACCAGGGCTCAGGATCCAAAAATCCATTTTTTTGGCGAAAAATAGCCCCAAAAATCATTCATAAAATTTTTTCAAAGGCATGTATCAAAAAAATGAAAAAAAAAACGCCTGGGGGTATTGGCCCACTCTACCTCCATGCCAAATTTCAAGTCATTTGGCTGAATGATGGCGGAGTTGAATCCCTTTGACTGTTTGGCAGGAGGAGAAGAAGAAGGAGAAGAAACATGAGAGAACACAATATATTTCATCCATACCATGGTATGGACTGAAATATAATAAATTTTGAATATCAATCTTGGGCCTCAATCAATGATGTAGTACATATGTTCCAAACAGGCTACCCAGTAGTAGGTATTGTACATGTACTGCAGGCCAATTTGACTACCTTTCTGTTGATGAAGCCGTCCAACACCTGAGCAATCTTCACCCCTTGTTCTGCATCCGTAGCTCGTAGTTTCTCCACCTGTGATGCAGCACATACCAAGATGTTGTCATCTCTAAAGACATCCAATGCAATTTCAGGGCGGCAAAATGGGATTTTCAAAGCCAATTTCCTGGTCATTCTTTTGGTGTAGTCGGTTGAATCTATCCTATCCCATAGCATACTGATATCTGTGAGGCAAAAATGTGATGTCACTGACAAAAATGATTAATTGTTAAACACACACCACTATCAGTGGACTAGCCCCCTGCTGTAGTGATTGCACAACTGTGTGGCCCAAGGGATACAAAGAATACATGGAGATGGGTACTGCCATAAGCGACAATGCCAATGGTTACAGGGAGGCTTTTAACTTCAATAAATCAACTAAAAAGGTAACATTTGCAAAGCAAATGCATAATGTTTACCTTTGCATATGGTCTGATCTGTTAATTCTTACTCAAACAGTTTCATGTATATGGAGTACTAGTCTAAATCCCTCCTGCTATAAAATTGCAACATGATGTAACCCAACACCAGTTACCAAGGTGACAGATGTCTGGTTCTGGTCATTGACCTTTTGTGTTTGGAACGGGAAAGAGGAAACAGAGCGAAAACAATTTATAGTTTTCCTTCGGTAAACATAATCAGCTTCATGGCTTGACTTCTCATGATTAACCCTCACCTGCCGGGCTACTCCACTGTAGACATCTTGTGGGGACTCGGCAGGCATGAGGTTAACCTGGTGAGCGCCGGTGATGTCCCTCCCCAGAGCGGCGTAATGTTGCAGTCCGTTGCACGAACCATCCTGCGTACAGGGAAAAACAAAGTCAAACTTTAGTTAAAGAGTTTGACTTGTTCCAACACAAAAAGGGAACTCACCATAAATTTTCGGCTGATCCATTGATGAAGGTTAGACATCCAGGTAAACAATATGCAAAGACTGTGATGAAATTTTGTCTGTTTTGCCAGTTACAAGTTAAAATTTGAAACTTTTGTTCCAACACGTTCTTATCTAGAGCTTTTGACTAATCACTCTCATCTTCTTCAATAGACTGACCCAGTGTGACCTACACTTCAGAGAAGCCACGTGACAAGTCTCACTGGGTCAGTCTATTGAAGAAGACTAGAGTGACTTGTCAAAAGCTCTAGGTGAGTACAATTCTTTGTGTTGGAATTTAAACAATAGTAAAAAAAACAAGGAAAATCGTAGATTCAAACCTCCGGGTTTTTTTGTATTGTATTGGTTTAGGTTATTTGTTTGTGTGTAGTATTAAAGTTATGTGCGTAATATGTTTGTATGTGTTTGATGGCTACTGACGGTTGGTTTGGTATGGACTGTTGATTAACGTGTCTGACAGCCTACACCGTCACCCGCGCCATTACCCCCGCCGTCGCCCAAATTTTTTATCGGAACCAGACACCCCTCTGTTTGACCCCTTTTGAATGCTAAGACCCAAAACTGCAACCTCCCCATTCCTTAACAACATGGTAAATTCCATTTTCAGCATGGCGGGGGTGTTCGGAGCACTTAAAAACCTTTTATTTCGACGCCCATAAGCACATATGCAATTAAACAAAAACGTTCTGCATCATCTGCAGCCCAATAGCAATACGTATACCGAACCACAGACCAATCCGTCCAGCCGATCGCGAGAAACAGCTGCTGACAGAAATGTTTCGAACAATAGTAAAACCTCCTCGCGGAAGGATATCTCCTTCCCCGGAGGTAATTACAGAGATTACTTCTGGTCTTTGAAAACTTTTGTTCCATATTCTTCTATTTGTCTGCTCAGTTTCCCTTTTGATTTTTTTATCACATTAAGTGGCGTTAGCTGTAGACACTGTCCCCTTACCTGGTGTACAGGGAAGTGTGAGATGTAAGCCTGAGGGTCAGGTGACCTCACAGCGTTGGCGATCTCCATACAACAGGCCAGGGCCTGCCAGGGTTCATCTGCCGTCATCCACCACTTACGACCCTGGAGGGGAAGACAGAGTGACACAAAAAAGAAAAATTGTGTGCTTTCATTTCATTTATTTCAAAACCTTTTTGTCCTGTTGGGCTAGTCTTCCCAGGACTCAAATGTACAGTCATACAGTTAAAAACAAAACATACATTGCATGTATCATACATTTTGCAAAATCAGTGATAAAAACACAAATATACATATGGGCAATGCACATAAATTCAACTCAAACATACAGATAAATGCATGCCACAAAATCAGCAGAGAACACACAGATGAACACAGTGGCAATAGATGTAGAAAAAAAGAATTCTGTGATTGATTAGTTAACAGTACTAATGATAAGTTTGCGGTACAGAAGCGACTGTGAAAGCCATAAACATAAAAGTACCATGAAAAAATCAGGAATTACAGTATTTTACTCTTGGATGAATATGGACTTTATTGGATGGGCTTACAGAGCAATACAAACATGTGACATTATGAACTCAGCCTGCTATCAAAACACACAAAGAACAAAGCATCAGAGGGTTTGAAAGCTGAACAATGAAGACATTGTACCATCATGGGGTGGTCTGCAGAGTCAAGGACCTCCTCCATCATCTCATTTGCATATTCTAACCTTTCCGTTTGGGAGTTCCTGAAGGGAGGAAACAAGTTGGGTAGTCATTTCTATAGAAACACCAATTCCTGCTAAAGCCCTGTTGATTTGATTACATGGATGACATCCTCAAACTGATGCGAGCATGTGAATAAAAAAAGTTGCCTTCAGTATGAAATCTACTAGAACATGGTCATGAAGGTTGAATAAATGACTAAACACACAGGGTATGGTATGGCGTGTATAAGAGACTCTTCATATCCATTTCGTCACATTTTCTTCTTTTCCTTTTGTTTTCCAATACTTTTTGGCAATTCACGGCATATGAATATAATTGCTCAGTTTGCAGCTACTTTGAATGATTAATTTTACAGTATGGTCGACAACTTCTAATTTTGAAGGGGAGAAAATTCATGTGCGCACGGATGTCATACATTCATGTAACGTTATAAACAAATCAAAATCTTCATTGCCAACGTAAACATATCTTCCCAACACGCTTACTTTTTCTTGAAGCCTGTAAGATTGACCAGGTGGATCTTGAGCCAATCCAGTCCCTTTTCTCCCAGGGGATGTCCCTCAGCAAAGACCAGGATACTCCTGGCCACATCACTGCCTGTGGTACCAACAGGACATCATACGTGAAAGTCATCTCAAACCAGTTTGGCTCAATGAACAGTATGAATACAGTGCTCGAAATACCTGTCTGCAGTCTGCAATCTGCAGATAGATTTCAAAGATTGCAGAAGAAAAATTTATACAATCTGCAATTTTGCAGCAGGAAAAATTGGCACTTGGGATTTGACGCTCTTGGCCCCATGGACATACAACACTTAAGCTCCTGTTCTGAAACAACAGGAGTTTCTTCACTAATTTACATCAACTTTGTCTTGACTTGTCTATCTTTTGTTTCCTTTTGGACTTCCAAAATGTCTTCACTAATTTGCATATCAATCAATAGTTCATGCTTATAAACCTGCAAGATTGTAGTATAGAGGCTTGTGTATTTGCAGAAAGTATTTCCAAATTGCAGAACAAAATTTTGACTCTTCTGCAATATTGCAGAGCACTGAAAAAATTTAGTATTTCGACCACCGAATATGTCGGTGAAAGTTAGACATCCAGGTAATAAGATACGCCTAAAGCAGCGCAGTTACTCAAGCAACTGGATATGATTTTGAAAATGGGCAGACATTTCAGGTAGCATCCACTACCTTTCTATAACATCAGGAGCCATTTGATTCACTTGCATCCAAAGGTAGTGGATGCTACCTGAACCATCTGAACATTTCCAAAATCATATCTAGTTGCTTGAGCAACTGGGGTAACTGAATGCACAGTTTAGCTGATTGATCTGGTCTTGACAGATAAGACAGATGCTATGTACAGTACATAAAGGAGGAGCTTTTTTCATCATATAAAATGAAACAGTGTACCAGGGCTTAATGTCCCATCCTAAAGACGTGCTACCCTTTCCTGTAGCGTACAAGTCAGGTAAGCAACACCGAGTGAGAGTGACGTACCTAGGTGGTTGAAGTGAGGAGGACACGGATAGACTCTGCCCCGGAAATCCATGTTGTGGGGAAAGTAGAAAATCTCATGACGGAACTGGAGAAAAAGCAGGATAATAATTGTTAATAATAGTTACTGTGTAGTTAATGTTCTAAACTTCTACATTTTGTATTTGCCCAAAAATGCTCAAGGAATTTCCTTGGGTTCAAGACATTTTGAAGCAAAAATGAAGCAAAAGTGTAAATTAAGTAAAAACAGAGTACTGTACTGAGAAAAAATTAAATCTGACTACATTCCCTTACATTGTATAGACACTGTACCAATGTATGACTGTCCCCTTATGTTATATAGACTTAGATAGATACAATCATGTATGTTAAGTTTGCATGTCAACTTTCCATTTGAATGATAAGGCCACACCGATTTAATTCTATGGATGACATCCTCTGAAGACCCCCAAACTAGTGCACGCGGGCGAAAAAAAAAAAATCCGGCCCAAAATAAAAATGCTACAAAACCACAGGAATACAAACCTGGTATTGTGAATTTTGCGCATTACATAGCGACGTATACGACAGGCCGACACATGCTGGATTTTTGCGGAATATATGAATCGACACTGCTGTACGTATGTACTGAGTTCTTGAGTCTTGGAGCTTCGGTAGCCTGGCTGCCGTCAACCAGAGTTATCACCACCATGCACTACCCAGGCCTAAAGCCAGGCCAGAGCCTCGGAATACGTGATTTTTTTTCTTTTTTTTTTGAGATCGAGCGAAAATCAATGCGCGCGCGGATGTCATCCATAAAATTAAATCGGAGTGGCCTAATTGTTAATTCCAAAAACCAGCAAACTGAATTGGCATGGTCTATATCATCTGTATATCATAACCCATATATGACTTTCTTTAAAAAAAAAGGGAAATGCGAGACTTACCCTGTTAGCAATGGACAGTTTGTAAAGCATGTCCATTCTCAGGCTGTGCATCTCACTGCGTAACTTCCGCACTTGAGCCATTTGTTTCCTCATGGCTTGCTTGTCTCCATTGGTTCTGTGGGGACAACATAGTTTTGTTGATATGATAGGCCATGTTGATATCATTACAAATGTATCTGGATGACATCCTCTGGGAACCCCAAAACTGATGCGAGTGTGCGGATAAAAAAAGTTTTAAAAAGTGTGCGGGCAAAAAAACAGTTGCATTAATTATGAAATCTAAACAGTCATGAAAGTTGAACACACAGAAAATGGTATGGCAAATCATAGACTCTTCCTTATCATTTCTTCACATTTTCTTCTATTCCTTTGAAATTGATTCTACAACATAAGTATCATTTTCCAATACGTTTTTGCTATGTTTGAGAGCCTCGAAAATCAACTTATGACAGCCATTATAAATTATTGCAATTGTGATGGCTTGTTTGATAATTCTGTTAAAGATACATTTGTGTAAGAACACAATAGTTTTATGTTTTCATATAACCCAGGCACTTTTGTTGTTGTAAGGCCATGTTGATTTGATTATATGGATGACATCCGCGCGCGCATGAATTTTCGGCCGTTTCCAAAAAAAAAAGTTTTCAACCATACTGTAAATCGTACAAAACAGTTGCAAAATGAGCAAAAATATACTATAAGTTACAAAAAAAATTCATAAAAACTACCAATGTCGTAGAATGCCAAAATCAAACGAAAAAAAACGAAATTGTAAAGAAATGAACTTGAAGACTAGATTATTCGCCAAACCATATTCTGTGCCATTTGCTCAACCCTCATGACCACGTATATTTCATAATGAAAAGAACTTTTTTTTTGCAAAACTTTTTTTTTATTCGCACGCGCGCATCAGTTTTGGGGCTCCCGGAGGATGTCATCCATATAATCAAATCAACATGGCCTAACAGACAAAAAGTTGAAGACGAAATTACAACGGTGTGCTAGGGGGTTATATCAGAACCTATAAAAGCAGAGTTTTCATCTCTTTAAATGTCAGTCATTTTTCTGGGGTACTATCCTTTTCCGAGATTATGCATCACTTTCACATACCTATCATATTATATATAGTTACTATACTAAGTATAAGTCAATCAGGCCGACCCCCATCTTCCAACCTCTGCCTGATTTTCTCATGCAATGACTCTAAATGCTAAAATCAAATGAAGTGCAAGTTCTAGAGCTGTGTACCGATACTCAGTACCGATACTGTACCGGAAAAATTGATTAGGTACAGGTCCAAAATACCTAATCCCTCAGTACCGGTACTGTACCTAAACAATTTCACACCAACTTTATGCCTAATTGTGACCTTAAATGTGGAAATAGCTGGTCGCCAATGGGTTCCAATGTAAGGACAGTGTGTTCATGAAAACAATAATACCTTACTTTTGCCTATATTTTATCTGAGCATTCTCCATAAACCAAAATTAAACCTTAACTATCAAGTGTATACATGTTTTTGTTGCTATTGAAAGAGTTCAGAAGAGCATGTAAATTGGTCGAATTTTTTAGGTACAGGTTCAGGTCCGGACCTGTACCTAAACCTGTGTACCTGTACCTGTACCTGTACCTAAAATTTGTTTAGGTACACAGCTCTAAGTGCAACATAGAACAACTTACAACATCTCCGTTCCCACTTTGGGGAAGGTAGGGGCCTCTGAGACTGGCTGGGGAATATCCAACTCCTTACTGCCCTTGTTGTTGAACACTTGAATAACCAAGTCCAGGATCTATAGTAAAGGTAAAGCTGTCATTCTAAACTGAGGCAAAGCATTATGTTTTTTCCAGTAGATAGTAGTGTGTGACTTGTGTTCAGTCAAACATACCAATTATGATTAAAAAAACATTAAGAGGCATATAATTTATAAATTTAGAACATGTAGTATTATGTAATTAGATTAGTTTACAAAAAAAATCAATTATTTTGACAAAAATCTTTGTTCTTAAGGACATTTCTGTGTCACAAAATTGATGTGATATATTATGCCAGTCAGTTACATATATTCAATTTTGAAGTTTACAAATGTAGTTTCCATATGTGAAAGTTTACAATGTACAGATGTAGAGGACTACATTTTGTAACTTTTCTTTTACGCCAGTCAAACAAGCAGTAAGGAAATTAATTAAATTAAGTTGATGCTGCTCACTGGTTGGTTGATTTTCCAGGCACAGGCTCCCAATTGGTTGAGAGAGTCCAGGATTGGGTACAACTCCGATGTCCCGACTTTCTCCAGGAGTAGTTCGTGTTGTAACGTGGCGTCATTGGATCGCATCAACTTAGCTGGGAGATAACAAAAGGGAATGCCATAAAAAAAAGGTCCCATTCCACTCCATGCAGAGCATTGACTGTGGTGGTGCCCATCTCCGTTGCTGTAGCCCTTGGGCCACACAGTTGCGCAAGCACTAAAGCAGGGAGATAGCCTGCTGTTAGTGGTATGACAGGGTTCTATTTGGTTATCGCACAGGCTTCCAAGTGTTCTAAAAATAAAATGTGTATTTTATTAGGTGGGTATGACATTAATAAAATGGTACAACACACAGTGTATTCCGCATCACCCTCAGTCCCAGCCCTCCCGTGGGCTGGGTCTCTCTCCAGCCTTTGGGCGATCCAACCCGCAGTCAGGCTGATACCTCGGTTGATACGGACGACACAGTTGTATTAGGCCACACCGACTTAATTTTATGGATGACATCCGCGCGCGCATTGATTTTCGCCTGTCGCCCTCAAAAAAAAAAAAAAGATCACGTCCACCTAGGCTCTGGCCTGGCTCTAGGCCTGGGCAGTCCATGGTAGTAAGCGACAATACGGAGCTGAGCACCCAGGCTATCGAATTCGAAGCTCCAGGACTCAAGAACTCAGTACATACGTACAGTACCGATTCATAAATTCCTCAAAAAAGCCAGCATGTGTCGGCTTGTCGCGATCGTATACGTCGCTATGTACTGCCGCAATTTCACAATACCCGCTTTGTATTCCTGTGGTTTAGTAGCATTTTTATTTTTGGCCAGAATTTTTTTTTATTCGCCCGCACGCACTAGTTTGGGGGTCTTCAGAGGATGTCATCCATAAAATTAAATCGGTGTGGCCTTATCTTTAAAAGCAGTGAACTGAGAATGAGACTCACTTGGAGACAACAGAAAGCCGCCCTTCTTGACAGAAGACCAAGGCACCGGAGGCATGAGCATGGGCAGTAGACTGCTGTCAAACACAAGGCTGGTGTCCTGGGCACCTTCTACTAACTGTACCAGCATGGGGTGGGGCTACGCACAAACATACAGAGTTCAATAAAGGTTCCCTCTCACAAACTTATTTGTTTATTTATTTGTTTGTTATCTGTCTGCACTTGAAAAAGTATATAGCAAATTATGTAGAATGAATGTTTTCTTCTTTTCCTTGGGAATTGATTTACTTTACAATGCGGTACAGAAAGCTTCTTTTGGAAATGGACGAAAATTCATGTCATCCTAAATATGCTAAAATCAACACGGCTTTACTCATATACAAAGTTACATATCATCATAGGTCACAATGCATACATGTACAAATGTATTTTAATTTGGTGCATGCAGATTAATTGCAGATAGAAAAGAGCAAATCTTGGCAATAACTACTCACCTTAATAATGCCCACTTGTTTGATGTTCCTATAGGTGTACATGTGATACAGGGCAGGGATCAGCTTCCTACAGAACCAGGGGAAATTATTTATTTATTTTATGAAGATTTACCACATTTGTGGAAGGATTGACATAACAGGTGACTATCACCTTTTCAAAGATGCCAACCCCGAGACAAGACTGTAAGGTTTGAACCACTCACACCGGGAAGGTCCCCTACTCTTTTCGATAAGTGCGGTGGGTTCTTTAACGTGCGTGGGGTGTGGCTCTTCCAAACACGGGACCTCCATTTAACGTCCTATCCGAGGGACGTCCCTAACCAAAGCTAGGTACTCATTTCTGAGTGAAGTGAAGAAATTCGTGTAAAGTACCTTTCCCAAGGGTACAACGTCGGGGCGCATGATCGGACTTGTTCGGGTACAACCCGGAATCGAACCCGGGTCTCCCCGTTTCATGGTCCAGTGATGTACCACTACACCACACGACGCCACTGTGCAGGATCAATGATAGCTCTCATAACAAACAATGACTTTTCTTTGAACACAAAAGTTAAGCAGTGTCTGATTTTTACTTGAATCACAAAGTTGGAGAAAAATGCTAGTCAATCTCTCTCTCTCTCCCAGCAAGTACAAGTTTTACTCGAATTTATAATTTTCTTCCTGAATACTTGAGTTACATGCATATGAAGACCTAAGGCCACACCAATTTAATTTGTTGGTTCTCGGATTTTTTCAGAAAAAATATGAAGCGACAGGGCGAAAAAAATAAAATAAAACAGGTCTAGGCATCCTATTATAGGCTTAAATGCTACGAAATGAGCCATGAAGTCAACATAAAAGGCCGGGTTAAAATTTAAACATTGAATTTTGAACTTTTAATCAAACCACTGCAATGATAGATCGGAAAACTGTAACAACTAGGAAGAAAAGGACTTTCCTCAACTGTTGGGGGTAAAACATGAGCATTTTTCAGTTGATTCAGGACCAGAATCAAATTTTTTTTTTGCAAATCAGAAAAAAACGAAGAGGCGAATCCGAGAACCAACAAATTAAATTGGTGTGGCCTAAATATGATAAAATCAACACTGCTTTACTCATATACAAAGTTACATATCATCATAGGTCACAATGCATACATGTATTTTAATTTGGTGCATGCAGATAACTTGCAGATAGAAAAGAGCAAATCTTGGCAATAACTACTCACCTTAATAATGCCTACTTGTTTGATGTTCCTATAGGTGTACATGTGGTACAGGGCAGGTATCAGCTTCCTACAGACACAAGGGAAATTATACATGATCATTGATAGTTCTCATCAATTACTAGTAACATAACAGTGACTTTTCTTTGAACACAAAATTTAAGCAGTGTCTGATTTTTACTTGAATCACAAAGTTGGAGAAAAATGCTAGTCAATCTCTCTCTCTCTCTCCCAGCAAGTACAAGTTTTACTCAAATTTATAATTTTCTTCCTGAATACTTGAGTTACATGCATATAAAGACCTAACAGACAAACAAACAAACAAACAAACAAACAAACAAACAAACAAACAAACAGTACTTACTGTTCACTGGTCTTTCTGAAGAGATTATTGTCGATTTTCACCTCTCGAACCATCACATCTACCAACAGACTTCCCAACTGGATATAAAATGTACAACATTGCAATGTCAGTGCCTTTGAAAAAAACACATACATGAAAGATTCTTCTACAATCTCAACAACTACTTCTAGCAAGAGCCAAATCATGCAAGGACCAAACATTTCAATAAGGACAGAGGCTGGACTATTCTGAGGTACTTTTAATCACTTTATATTCATGCTACTTTAATTCGTGGTTTTCACAGTCACTTCTGTGCTGCGAATTTATCATTACCGTGAACAAATAATGTGTCCACTTTCTTTCTTCTGCACCTGCCCCCACAGCGAAGATATAGTTTTGGAAACATGCCCATTTTTCTCAGACTGCAAACTACCGTGAATATAACATGATTTACAGTAATAGCGATGGTCAGAGCAAATCATGGGTAGAACAGGCAAGACTCCAGGTAGTGATGCATACCTAAATCCAATTTTAGGTTCAGGTCCAGATTCAAGTCCAGAGATTTAGGTTTAGTTCCGGACTTGTAAGTCCAGACCTAAACCCATGGCATGTACAAAATTGCATGTTGGCAACCTTGCAATGTTATCTGGGTGAAACTTTGGCCACATAACATGGAGGCCGGTACTTGACGATGCCCAATGGCAATGTTTTCTTCATTTTGCAGCAAAGATTTTGCAATCTACGGAAGGTTTTAGGTGTTTTGGAAAGAAAAGGGGTATGTGGAATGGTCTTTTATGGTAATAAGTCCGGACTCGGTTCTTGACTTTTAGGTTTTTTTGGACTTGAACCTAAACATTCTTACAAGTCCAGATCCAAGTCCAGTGAACCGGTATGCATCACTAACTCCAGGCTATGTTTCTGACTGGTACTTACATTGATGATCAGATTGATGGGCCAAGCACACTCATCACCCTACAGAATAAAGAAAATAAAGAAAATGGTGTGCTTAGGTGTTCAAGACATCAAGTGCAATTTCACAGGGCAAAACCAAAAATATTCCTGATGAGGAAATCTGTATGATACTGACATTTATGAACAAATGAATGAAGGAATGAATGAATGAATGAATGAACGATGTGAAAGAAACCCACCACTACAGGGCTGACACTGTGGTCCCCCTCCAGTTGGTACCACAGCTCGCGAGCCTGACCAGGCCTGCCTCCCTGCACGTTGTTTACCATGAAGCTACAGTAGTCCTGGTAAATCTGTCTGATCTATGGACAACATACAGGCACCAAGAAAAATTAGTACTCGTACATGTCATATATTGTACATGTATCAACTATGTCCACTGTACCAATTGTTACAACATCTATACTAGAAATGTAACCTTTGCAAAGCAAATGCATATTCTTCACATGGTCTAGCCTAACCAAGAAGGTTCCTTGGCCTAACTAACTACTGCTCTTACTCATGTTCGCATACATGGACTAGCCCCTCTAACTCCGTACTGCTATAAAATGTAATCCAACACCACAGGGTGTCTGCTATAGCACCAGTTACCATGGTGACAGATGTCTGGTCCAGGTCATTGACTTAATGTGTTTGGAGAAGAAGAGGAAGACAAAACTGAACAAAAACAAATGAATATATTTTCCTTTCCTGCTGAGAAGGTGAACATAATTCAGAGATATTTGTGTACTGTTAACATGTAACATTTGGACCAAAACAAGAGCATGTGTGGCAGTGCACTTTATGAGTATGCCGCACATTGAAATCAGCAACATCTTTGCTTTGAGGTCCTCTCATTACATAATAAGGGTAGTTTTTTTTCATAATATATCAAAATAAAGCTTTGAATTTACTTTTTGTCTCACCCTTGAAGACCATAGGTTACTTAGTCAAATTGTTTATGTCCGGGATCTGTACCTAAATCTCTATACCTGAACTTGTACCTGTAGTACTGTAATGTTTAGATAGGTGGCCCTAATAGCCAATACAGATAAAGCAAATAATGGCACTGTATGAATAGTGCATTGATTGACAACCTAACCTTTTCCACACTGCCACTCTGTAGTTTCTGCTTGATGCGGTACTTCTGTTGGATCTTCGTGCCGAGGTCGCGCGCTATGATCAGCAGGGGGTCACCGGTCACCGCTACAAGGCAGATTGCCTGTAGAGAGTCAAACAACAATGAAACAATGTCATAGTACATTGTAAAACTTTATTCCAACACGAAGAGTACAGGGGGATCAAAATTTCAACGACCACTGTTGCCTTCATCAGGATGATTAATGACCTATAAGTTCCGAACATTAAGTTGTGAGAATTATGGTTACAGACACATGACCTTATTCATAATCCCCCAAATTCGAACTTGACTTTCATATTCCCCACCCCAAACTACCTACAAAGTATTTTGAAAAAATCCACATCATCAACACGTTATCCTGTCTAATCAAACTCTGTCATGAAAAAAAGCAGCTATTTCGCTGAAAACCATGCCAGGTACCCATTGCCCAAAATAATAATATGTGTTTCTCAAAAATCATGACCATCATATGTTCACAACGTATATGACATGTCATACCCATGCAATCTGCTGCAGTACCTTACAAAACTGCTAGAGTACCCAAAATTGACTTTGACCTTCGGCTATTCCGAGATCAGGGTGCGCCAAAGGGTTGCACTTGGGCCAATTTTTCAAGTTTTATATTTTTCTACTTTCAGTGCAGAAAATCGCACTAGAGGTGTTACCATACATTGCACTTTTTAAATTTTTGGATAGAGACGTTCAGTTCAAAAGTTGTGCTCTTCCAAACTTTAGCCCACTCATTTCAGATGTGGCCGGCAACGGACACTACAGCTAAGCTGTAGTGTCCGTTGCCGGCCACATCTGGCCGCTCAAGTACATGACAAGAACACCAAATCTTGCAAGACCTGTCATTTAGGGGTTGACAAAATGCTACAGAAATAACATAAATGAAAAAATTACTTCAAAATTGCAACAAAATGTAATTAATGTACCTATATGGTATACTTGGCAACGGACACTACATGGCAACGGACACTACACCCTTGAGGTTTTTTGACATTATTTCATATAATTACAGCAATAGACTGAAATAGCTACTGTGTTTTAAGTCAGCATCTTCAGCTGTTTCAAAACCTGAAATCATATGCACCCACAGCTTTTCTATTTTAAGTTATTACCGAGCAACGGACACTACACATTTTCTCGGACAAAAAAGACAGGTAACTGTAAGCCATCAGCCATATTAACCCAAAGGACAAGCAACATAAAAACACATGTTTTGTGTCATATATGGATGTACCTTGCATAACATGCAAAATGGCCAGTTCTATCACCATCCTTTTTAGTACAGGGAGATAAGTTAGTTGCAATGTGTTAATTTATGAATTTTACATAACGTGTACAACATATTGATAAATACGCTCTAGGAAAGAGAAATTTCCAATCATCATCAGGTTTTTTGCAAAAAATATCAGACTGAGCATGTCTGAACATATTGCAAATCTTTTCATTCCATTTTTTTGTTCCCAAATTACTTAAAAGCATATTTCAAAAACTGGCATTTTTCAAGTGCAACAGCATAACGTAGATTTTATGCCAATTTCTGGTCTTAAATTGGCCATAGCATAAGTTTTAAACATCTTAACACCAAATCTCTTCCTGATTGTCTGGAAAATAACTGCACTAGTATAACAAGTTTGATAAATGTCAACAGAATGCGATAAATACAGAGTAAGATTGACATAACGATGCACGATGCCATTGGCGCACCCTGATCTCGGAATAGCCGCTTCATTGTCCCATCCTGAACCTACCTACCAAATACAGTATCATAAAGATACATGCATCACAGCCGAGATAAATCTGCAACTTATTCCTACAAATGTACCTGCACCATCATGTCCACATATTCCTGTTCCTCCAGCACACAGAGGAAAGGATAGATGTTCACCTGGCCTTTAGCTGGAAAACAAAATGTTTACAGTGATGTCAGAAAGACTGTCTGTTGTTCAAATCGCTGCACTTGTAACAGCATCAAAACGGGATTCTGACAGACATTTGAAAGCAAGGGCCAATATTGTCTCAATAGGGACAGCTAGATACCCGACTATCTAGCAAGAAAGCCTGCCATCAAAGAGCTTGCAGAGCCAAAACAGAATGGGTACAAAAAAACAGCCTACAGAGCAAAAGCACCAGAAGGAACTGTTACTAGTGCTTTATAACATTGAGTCTTACCTTTACTTTGTCTGTCCATCTGTTTCTTGAGTGTCCTGAAGGCCTGCAGCAAACCAGTCTCCCACATCGTCTTGTGGGTCTGGAGAAGCTCTCGCTGTGGTAAGATAAACATGTTTGTTTCTTCGTTTGTTTGTTTGTTTTTTGTTTATATATTTGTACAATAATATATAAAAAGAATACGTAACTCTCACTTCATTCAGGTGAAAATGTTCGTTCATTATCATGATTATGGGCATCAAAGGAAACCCAAACCAAGCTTGGCTGTACCCACCAACTTTAGGACCTCCTGACTGGACTGTCTCTGCCCCTCCACAGACTCTACTTTCAGCCAATGTTGTGTCTCCATCTCCAGCTGGGCGTTACATCGCTCTACAACCTCCTCTTCTGTAAACAAGGGTCGGGCCTGCAAGGACGTATCCTGCAAAACAAAACAACTTTACACTTAAGAGGGAAAAAGCATAATGTTTACCTTCACCTGGTCTAGCCAAACTGACTACTGCCCTGTGTATTCTTACTCAAATCCATTCATATGTATGGTGAGCAGCCTCTCCAACTCTGTTCTGCTACATAGTGTAATCCAACACCACAGGGTGTCTGCTGCAGCACCAGTTACCATGGTGACAGACATCTGGTTCAGGTCATTGACCCTGTGTTTGAAGTAGAAGAAGAAACTGAGCAAAAATAATATGTTTTCCATCTGTGAAGGTAAACAAAATTATCGCAAGAATGTGACATACTGGTATTGTTTTGGCTGGTCCATGCATTTATCTGCATGTTTCGTAGCGCAGTTTCTGTTCGTTTTGCCAGAGGGTGCTTTTTGTCAAGGTGGCTATATCTCTGATTGCCCAATGTTTGAGCAAGTCCTGAGAATTTACAGTATGACAGTCTGGCAGACATTTTTCTCTATTTGTTTTTTGGCTCAAACATGGTAGATATAATCAAGGATAATGCAATAGCATACCAACATCAGTGTGGCAAGAATAGGGGCTTACGCTGTAGTTATCGTTACTCTTGTCCGCATAGATAGATGATACCAGATCTGTTGTACACCTCTGGGGCAAAGGGAGCGGTGGTGGGGCGAAGTCTGCCATCCCACAACCATCTTGTATTGCCTGAAGTATAAAAAGACACACTTAAGCAAACACTTGAGAGTTGAGACAAACCTTAGCAAACAATAACACTAACAATCTATGGCAATCACTCGATATCTTTATTTGCAATCAGATACAGATTCATGTACAGATACATATTCATGCACAGATACAGATTCATGTACAGATACAGACTTTCCGAGTAGGATGACCGTGTCAGTCCCTACACCTGAGTGAGGGTTACAGTTGACACGGCGGCCTTCGCGTGGATTTGTTTAAGGTGGATAACAGGTTGCGAATCTGTGACCCACACACTTGGGCATCCATCTTCCCCAGCGGATCCATATCGAGGGAGACGTGCTAGTTCCGGTTGGGATGCTTGCAGCGAGCTGCCGGATGACTTGGTTACGCTCAAGGTCCGCCTTCACTACGCCAGCCCGCCTGGTGCTGCTCTCGTCCGCCAGCTGAAGACAGCTGCCGTTGGAGACTTGTCCCTCTATTTGAGGGGGGATACGTGTAAAGTACCTTTCCCAAGGGCACAACGTTGGTGCGCATGTTCGGACATGCCCCTGTGCTCCGACCCGGAATCGAACCCGGGGCTCCTTGTTGAGCACCGAACGCTCTGTCCACTACGCCACACGATGCCAATAGCACACAAATTACATACAACAGCACTAAACAATAAAACTACAGTCCTTTCCATCTACATATAATAAAGGACAGTTCACCTTTAATATGTACTCCTGTTCATCAGCTTGGAAGGTGCAATCCCTGAAAATGTTCTCCAAGTTGAAGCCCTGTGGTGTCACAAAGTGTTCATACATATGTAGTTAGATCATAACTGTGTTATTGAACTATAACCCTTGTCCTGTGGAGCCCAACAATTGTTGTTCTGCACATACAGTACCATCTATATAGCACCCTGTATAGGTACGATTTGGGGGTATTTCTCGTGCAACACATCACACCGCAGCAAAACGCATTGAATGCGGAAGTAACTATGCCACTGCAGAGCAATTTTTGGGGGTCTAAGACTATGATCTAATTAAGATATGAAATTAGTGAAAAATAGTGTGCCAGGAATGCCAGCAGGACAAGGGTCAAAGATTACAACTGCACTAGATTTATGCTGCAAAATGAACTACATGCATTTCTATTCTAAGGCCACACCAAGTAAATTTTATGGATGACGTCCGCGCGCGCATTGATTTTGGCCTGTTCCTAGAAAAAAAAACAAGAAATTCCGCTTCCTGTAACTATGACCAAAGAGTCACGACAGTGCCGCAAATAGGTTTTTACGGACCAAAGCTTATGAAGCATCAAGCAAGGAAATCATGACTAACTTCCATTAGAAATTCAGTTTGGTACATGCTGCCACATTTGAAGAAACTTGCTGACCGCTCCATCCATCTCCCCAAACTCACAGGACGACAATTACTGTTCCACCTAATTTATTGCTGTTTTGATGATGAATAAAATATTTCTTGCTTGTTACACTGTGTCACCTCATTCAATTGGTGTCCTAACATTTGTCGTCTCTTAGTATATTTCTAATCTAGGCATCTTGTTTTTTAGGGCCCTTCTTGTTTTTTTGCCCTCTCGCATTAGATTTAGGGTCTCCAAAGGACGTCATCCATAAAATTTACTTGGTGTGGCCTAACTGTAAATCACAATTTTTTTTTCAGTACTTTTACATGTATATCTGCAGTTTTCACAGTCACTTCTATGCTGCTAACTTATCATTACTGTAAAAAAAAAACAATTCGTTGACTTTTTGCTGCACCTGCCACCACGAATGTATAGTTCTGCAAACATGTCCATTTTTCTCAGACCGTGAACTTTTGCTACCGCGAACATGAAGCGACCTTACAGTAACTTTCTTCCTGTTGCCTTAAACCCAGAACCAGTACAAACTTTGCACCGAGTGGCTACATTAACATGTTGAAGGTTAAACAAATCAGATGTGCACCTGTGGACCCCGGTACTCACCTCCTTGTACATCTGTTTCACACATCTCATAGGCACGGCACCTGTCAGTCCAGCTCTGTAGGAAATGGAAAAAAAGTAAAAGCATGCTTAAAGTATATAGTAAATCTTTCTGACTAAAACCACAAAGTGGAAAATCAGCACTGGAAAAAGACAAAAAAGTTTGAATCAGCACCATCTTTTATTTGAGGTCCTCTTGTGAGAGTAAGGTCTTTGCATGAGATAACAAAAGTATTGAAGACCACAGTCTACTTTGTCAAATTGGTACATGTACATGTACCAGGGCTCGAAATTCATTTTTTGGAATAGGTGCACTGGCACCGTATAAAACAAAACACATTTAATTTAACAGATCTTACTACTCCTCTTATAAGCTTGAATCTGAAATTGGAGCTGACTTCAACATTTTACTCTGACAAGTACTACAACAAAGATTTCATTATTTTTCTGACACTTAGATAAAAGTGCCTACAAAAATACCTACAAAAATATTTAGATGCACCAGTGCACCCACTGCAAAAAATTGGGTGCACAGCTCCAATTTTGGGTGCGCTAAAGTGCATTTCGAGTCCTATAGTTACCTGCATTGGTACAAATACAATGTAAAGTTTTTGAACCCTGTTTAGGTACCTAGCCCTAGTACTTCAGGATTCTACATGTATCTTTAGAAGTTCTTTACCTGCCCATACACTCCAGTGCAGCTGCATAGGACTGTAGGTTAGGGTGGTGCCCATCTTTGGTCATCATGAAGAACAGGTGCCGAATTTTGTCCATATTAGCCTGCAAAAAATCATATCAATCAAGTTCAAAATGAGAAAAAAAAAAGATGAAAGTAACTTGCTGTTATCACATTTCTATAGAAGAACATTATAGCATAATAATATAAACTGCAAGCATTTGAGGACT